TTATTATTATTTTATTTATTTTTTTTAATGAAGGAAAACATGCAGAAAAAGAATGGAACTTCAATGTGCTTCTTTCATGAATTTTTCAAATGCAGCCTCATCCCCTTCTGTATAGAGACAGCTTGGTCTCCTTGATAAGGAGCTCTGGTGAGGAAACCAGAGTGCCAGGTCTTCATTCCTGGCTCGCCACTGCCTAGCCATGTAACCTTGGAGACCATAGTATTCCCTCACGGAGTTCTTGTGAGAATTAAATGAGTTAAATATAGAAAGCATTAAAAAGAGTATGTGTCTGGTATTAAGATGAAGCCTACTCAATAAAGAGCAAGAAGCTCATCCAGTATGGTAACATTCCGGTCACTGTTAATGTTTTCCATCATTACTAATTTGAGGGGAAAAAACAAAAAAGGAGCTTAAAGATAACACACACTCTTGGTTCTCATACAATACTTATTGGAACAAAAATGCTGTACCTTGTAAACTGCCAAATGCAAGGCTGTAAATCCATTTCTTGTCAGTCGAGATGGGCGGAGCCCTTTTAACATAAGGGTTCTAATATGAGACTTGTTGCCTTAAAGAGAAAAGTTTTAAAAGGTTAATTTGTTGATGGGGGTAGACTAAGTGATTTTAAAATTTCTCTTTAATGATAAATGTCACACTGATGTATGACAGGGTCAGATTGCCATTCTATGGGCCATTTTTTTTAAGTTTTCTATTAATTGACAGCCTTACTTAATAGTGAACATTTCTATAACACTTACAAAACTTTGTATCAATGCTGTGCATTTTAATGCATTTGTGTTACATTTTTTAATTTAGTGCTTTCATCATCATATGGTTTTAAAAACATAAAAACATGAAAAATCATCTTAATAAACTATTAGGGAAAAAGCTTAGATAAAAATTTAGTTGTACAGGAATCTTCAGAACATCATTAGCAGTCAAGTTTATTTGGATCAGAGCAGTCTAATCAATTGGTTAAACAGAAATGGTTAAGAGATCTGATGAAAGTCAATACATATACATCAGTGTTCTATTTAAAAAGCTGAGTTCAATGAATGCTAGTTTGAATTAACAAAAATAAATACTAACTATCAATTCATTAATTAAGTAAATTTATTGAGTACCTACTATATGCCAGTTACCATCCTAGGTGTTAGGGATGCATGCACTGGTGAACAAAACAAAACATAAGCAAAATTAAACTCTTAATCTTCTCTTTGATCAGTCTTCACTTTGAGATTTTATCCTTGGCATTTATTACCTTCCACATATCTTACTGTAGATTGTGAAGCAATTGCTTGATAATATTTTGAGGAATGCTTTAAGTCAGTGGCTCTCAACTAGGTGTGATTTTGCTCTCCAAGGGACATTTGACAATATCTAGAGACATTTTTGCTTGTCACCACTAGGGAGGTGCTATGGAATCCAGTTGGTAGAGGCCAATGATGCTGCTAAAACATTATAAATGCACAGGACTACCCTCCACAACAAAGAACTGTCAGGCCCACCATGTCAGAGAGTCAAGGCTGAGAAGCCCTGCTTTAAGTACTTCTAAACTTAACCGAATCCCTCACTGGAATGCCCAATACTGCAAAATGCTTTGGGTTTCTAAGCAAGCTAGCTGAGTGACTTGGTTCAGGGTAGAAGCACAATGAAACAAACTCAGAGCTAAATCAATTGGAATATCTGCCTGGTATTTACTGCTTCAACTGAAGGTTTTCAGAGCTGTGGGGGCAAGACAAAAGAGAAAATTGAGTATAAGTAGAATTCTCTTGTAGATGGTTAAGCAGCTCAAATCACTGACCATATAGTATATGTACAACTAGTTTATAAAGTATTGAGCTTCAAGCACTCACCTCCACAAATGCAACATAAATGAAGCAGAGACAGTCCATTTTCTGTGCGATAATTTAAATTAACTTTACTGAAGGCATCATCAGAGCTGAAAAAAAAATATTTTACAGATGATAAATTTCATCTTTTAGTTTATTATTTTTCATTTGAAAAATTATAAAAGGGAACCATGTTACTATAAATTCAGAAGTATATCTTTTCTAGGATTCTTTTGTACCTAGAAAATGTATTTTGAATATATCTCTGTATAAAGAACTTTAAAATCAAGAGAAAGTAATATTAAAAGTTTGAGAGACCACGTTTAAAGATTCATGTGCACAGTCTGTGTTCTGAGTAAAATTTGAATGGTCCAGGGCTTCTTGATGAATTAAAATTTATGTATATATAGAAAGTATAGACATTTGAAAATAAAATATTTCCTTCCCACTCAACATTTCACACCATAGTTATGAAAATTTCAAGAAATCCACTCCAAAAAAAAGAGAGAGAAAAAAGTCAGCATCTGATAAGAGACTGGGAAAAAGAATACATTCCCAATGTATTACAAATTCTGCCTGAAGCAAAGTTGCCTTGTACTCTGACTGGGTCAGGTTTCACAGATAAAGAAGGTCTAAAACTCTGATAGTGTACAGGCTCAGGTGAAAGGAGTAGTGTTAGTGATTTAATTAAGGAAAGCCTTGCCTTATTTGAACAAAGACTATTGTCCCAGAAGGGCCCTGGAGAGCTATCGGTAGCCTTTGAAAAAAAAAAGTAAAGCTAAATTATTGACCTCCTGAGGTCCTTGGTACTCCCAGGATGGTTTTCAGTAGAAATGATGGGATCATATCCTTGGCCTCCTAGGTCAATTTCAAGGTGACTCCTGCCTATTTGAGTATCTCCTAGCTTCAGTGAGATAGCATAGTCTTTGGTGAGTGAGCCCTCTATGTCATTTGTAAAGTACTGACACTTAAAAGGTACTGTAAATTCAGAATATTATCATCAATGCATACAGTTAAGAACTTCAAAATCTATTGGAATTTTGAAATAGAAAAAGAAAAGGTATTATTCTCCAGGGTGCTGCTAAAAAGAGAGAGTCTCTAAATCTGGGTACATTGGAGGATCTCAGTGAAATGCTTTGTAAACAATAGCAATTCCGGTGGTTGTTTTCATAGATGTGGTGATCTTCCAGAACTTTCCACCCTCCAAACTTTCTGCATTTCCACGTTCAACTTCCCAGAAGCACAGACCACAGACATGCTACTGACAAATATACCTCATATAGACACATATACCTCGACTTGCTTTAGAATGCCATTTATAGAAGTAAAATGAACTCCAATGAGTCATTTCTACTAATGTTGGTAATATAATATACAAAGGAGCCCAGGGTTTCATGAAATACAGTTAACTGAACTCACCTCTATCTGCACTTTCCCCCAGCTCAATGAACATTGGGGGGAAAAAAATGACTTCTGATGAAAATACCACTATTTTAAATGTCTACCTAAAATGAGCCTAATTATAAATAATATAGCTATTTTATATGTGCAGTACCTTTACAAAATAATGTGTGCAGTACACATTATAAAATGTGTGGCCTTTTCCTGAGCCCGGCCTTTAAACTCTCAAAGCCAATTGCATTGGAGATGTCTTAGAGAAATTAAACTAATGCGTAGTAGTGAACCAGGTGCTCTCAGCAACCATGCTTGGAAATGCATCCACCAAGGTCTTTTTCGTGGACGTGATTTCAAACAGGGCAGGTTTTCTGAAAAGCTGAACTCTGCTTTTAAAACGGGGTGGATTGAATTTTTCTCTTAAAGTTTGTAGGATATCAGTGTCCTTAAATAAAAAGAGGAAATAACCTGTGACCAGCAGGCAATGATTGGCAATGATTGAGCCTGAAGCTTCAAGAGATTTAAATAGGCAGGAGGCACCTTGAAATTGACCTGGGAGGCCAAGGATATGATCCCATCATTTTTTCTGAAAACCATCCTGGGAGTACCAAGGACCCCAGGAGGTCAATAATTTTAGCTATACATTTTTTTTCCCCCTAAAGGCTACCTATAGCTCTCCAGGGCCTTCTGGGACAATAGTCTTTGTTCAAACAAGGCCAGGCTTTCCTTAATTACGTCACTAACACTACTCCTCTCACCTGAGCCTAAGCTTGTTTTGGCTTTTCTTCCTTGGTCTTTCCATTATCCAGAAAACAAAACACACAATAAGATCACAAGACAGAAAACAAAGTATTGGGGTGGAGGGAAGACAGGGAAGCATCCTGTTAAATAAAGAACTACTTAAACTTCAGGTGAAGAGAAAAACAGGGAAGGAAGCCCTTTCCTTTGAGCTAACTATATGGAACTTAATACTAAAAGAAGAAAAAGCTTGGGGCTCCTATACAGCAATTAATCCTTAAGAAAATTAGTTTTTCAATGTGTGTCTCTAATATGTATTATATAGCAATATCTGCTGTGTTTTAATATTTTAAAAGTAGAAAAAGTCATTTCGGCAGTGTAGGTAATTCTTAAAGCTTGGTCCTTATGTTTACACCAGGATTAAAATAATACCCTGTTTCTGCCTTTTAAGTCATTTTTCTTTTCTTTCTCCAATTTGGGTAAGCTATTTAACCTCTTCAAGCCTCAATTTCTTTAGTTATAACATTACTAAAGTAACACATAAGACATTGTGTTGTGAAGAATAAATGTGGTTAAGTGCTTACTACAGTAGCTGGTGCAGTACATGTTATCCACAAATAGTTATTTTATTGTTATTACTATTATTATCAAGTCCCCTGTAAATATATGGCTTTTCTTTGTAATCTGACTCTTCCATGAATTTTAGCAAAATTTTCAAACCAAGTTTGATCATTAACCTCTCACATTTGACAACCTGTAAAATTTTCTGATTTTCACAGTTAATTCTATAGATACAAGTATTTTATGCTCACAATAACTCTGTTGGATTTTCAGAAAATGTCTGACCTTCTCTTCCCTGTTTTTAAAAACGGCCACCAGGTTGTGACAGTAGCATTTATCAGTGATTCGGAGCATCTGCTAGCATCACAGTTTTGTAACACAAGTCCAGTGGCATTATAAAATAGGGAAACTACAGAGTGTCCAAAAAATTTATGCACATTTTGAATGATTATAAAGCCAGTGTTTATTAACATACAGTCATTTTCAAAATTTAAAAGAATCTACAGAAATGAATAAATTTTTTGTCGCTGCCTGTTTCAAACTGTTGACCATTCTTGTCCAGGCACTGATGATAATATGAAGCAATGGAATCACAAACATCAAGAATCATTTTGTTTGATATTTGTGTGCCCTCAATTCGTCTACTTTTGCCGATTCTGTATTGTGAACTTTAGGTTTTATGTATTCCCATAAAAAAAAGTCTAGTGGCACTCTGAATATTTTTTTCTAGGTCCCTTATATAAGTAGAGTCATAGATTACTTGTCCTTTTGTGACTATCTTATTTCATCTAGCATAGTGTTCTCAAGGTTCATAGGTTCATCCATTTTGTTATGTGTCAGAATTGCCTTCCTTTTTAAGGCTGAATAATATTTCATTATGCATATATATGTTTGTGTGTATATATATATATATATGTATAATTTTTCCCCAGTAACAATCCATTGAGGAACATTTGAGTTGCCTATACCTTTTTGCTATTATAAATACTGCTGTTATGAACATGATATATAAAAATCTCATTTATTTACAATTTGTCAAAAAGTCCTTGTCTGGTTTAGATATTAAGTTATAATAGCCTAATAAAAAGTCTAGTGGCACTTTAGGTTAGATTTTCTTGGCTTAAAGCTTAGTCTGGCTTCACCAATTATTTCAAATCAGTTAAACCTGAAAGGGAGTGAAAATAAAGTGAGTTACCAGCTCTCAAAGTGTGTATACATTTTAGGGGACACTCTATATTTTCAACAATGGAGATATTAAAAGAACAATAAATTCAAACGGGGAAATGTAGGTTGTACTTAATATCATGTTATTATTCAATCCATTATGTAACTTTGCCAATGCATTGGATCAGTCCGGCATAGTACCTACTGAATACCAACTGTGTGCTCCACCTTGGTTCTTCATACTCCCTTCAGATTGTTTCCAACAGTCCACTTGATTTAAACTACTTATTAATTTCTCGATCTTTTCTAGTGCATCTAACTTGAGAATATACAACTTAGAGAGAATCCTGCAACTGATCTGAGCATTATTTCTGACTTCTACTGCTCCTATCAACTTTGCAAAGAAAGTAAACACTAAATAAACTGAAAATATAAGACGCTAAAGTCCACTGCTTTGTTTAAAAAATAATAATAACCCCAAGTGAAAGTCTGCTATTTACATAAATAAAATTGAATGCAGGAATTATATTTGAGTTTTTATTCAACAATCATTTCTTAGCTCCTTAGCTCACTGAATCTTTAAAAAAAAAAAGACTGATTGATTGATTTACAGAGAGGGGGAGGAAGTGAGAGAGAGATTAGGAAAGGAGAGAGAGAGAAACATCAATTTGTTGTTTGACTTATTTATGCATTCATTGCTCAGTTCTTATACGTGCCCTGACCAGGGATCAAAACCAAAGTCTTGGCATATTGTGAGTACACTCTAACCAACGAAAATACCTTGCCAGGCACCTTACTGAATCTTAAACTAGACTTGATCATTCTTTAGTGATTCAGGATAATACAGTTCTAAAGAGCTCCTCGCTCAAAACTGAGCTGTGGCCTGTTGCTTTGTTCTGCTGTTGAGTTCTATCCTCCTTGAATTCATGCAACTTCTATTAATGCCAACAAAATGAACCATCAGAGAGTAAACTCTCACAATATCTGGCAGTCAAGTGCAATTTTAATAGCACAAATTTTATCTTAACTTTAATAACTGGAACATAATTTTTAAAAAGAGTTACTTTGGAACTATATTTGAATCCTAATTCTCATTTCCCACTAACTTCCAGCCGAATGTTTCTGTTTTGATACATGTAATTAAAATGTTCAAGATTTTAAAGCAATCATTCCTAGGGGAGATATTTAATTTTACTTTATTTTGCCTTTTCTAAAGCAACTGTGTATGTCAACTTCACTGCCAACTGAGCAT